TTTATACATATAAAATATCTATAAAAGCACTACTTTCTGACCCTTCAAGAAAGTTAAGTGTCTTTATATATTTTATAGTTAATAAACTGAATGCAATATTTAGTATCTTCATATATTATTTATTGTTGCCTCTGCCTTAAAATCCCAAATCACTCTGTATTGTGTTAAGTCTTGTGTAGACTTTGTATAGAACCTGTCAAGTTATAGTCATTATACTATAGTTGAGCAGTGTCTGATATTACTATAGTTAAAGGAAAAACTACAGGTTAACAATGCTTCATTTTCTGACGAATTTTTTTGATTTATTTCAATTTGATTTAATAGTCGTGAATTTAACTTTCCTCATTTATAGATTCCAGTGGCCTTCCTATATCGGGCATGCTTAAATCGCTGTCATTTTGTGATGCAAATAAATTAAGGGCCGAGGTAATATTTATCAACTCAGATGAAGATGAGTAAGTTACATTACTTAAATTTCTACTTGCATCATTCGTGTTATTACCTGAATCTCCACACACATCATTTACATTAGCTAAGCTATGTCCAACAGCACTATTTACATTATCTCGATTACTATTCTCATCCCTTCTACTAGGAACTCTCCAGATGGGTAATGCGGATCGATTCCTTTGATTGGTGGTGGATTCATGACAACTAGTACTTAGAATTGATGACACTTCATAAGTTAGTAGTGGGGTACGGTTACAGCGACATCTTTTGGTAGATGTGTTTGCATTATGCAATATGTCGAATGGAGTTTCTATATTCTCATATACAAGGCAATTTCATGAGTTATTTATATATTTACTACTATGGTGATAGATTGTATCATAGGTAAACTTACCAGGTCTCTCCTAAAAATGAGAATTAAATTCTTCAAAATATCATTCATCTGCTCTGCTCCTCTTTCCAGTTTTGCTCCCAGCTATATTTAAACACATCGACTAAAAAGTTTCAGCGAGGCACAGCCAATATAAAAGTACATTAGAAATACTATCATATGGAATGTCATAGTTAAAATAGTATATAGAGTTTAACGCCTACATTGTAATCTCTAACAAGATTCTGAAATCTATTATTACATTGGTGTCCTGTATAGGTGGTCCCAAATCGTTCATTGATTGTGTTTGCTATACTATTCCAAAAGTTTACTCTACTATTACCAGAAATGTTATAATAATCCGCATTTCGATTTTTTCTTTCATCGATCAATAAGCGTAATTGATCATCGGTCCACATCACAAAAATTTAATTTCGACGAATACCCAACTGAGATACACTCACGATATAATATTTCCATATGTTTTTATAAGAAAAAAAATCATCATACCTTCAACGCACCTTCATCGTATCTTCATCGTACCTTCATTGTGCCTATTGCATCTTAATTAAGAGTTAATATAATAACAACATAGTCTATAAGTATGGATCTAGATATAGGGTATCTACGCACATCTCGGATTTGCTTATCTCAGATCAGGTGATCTCAAATGAAAATAATGATTATTAACTTGATTTAACATTACGTCCGAAATGTATATTCTTTATCGTAAAGAATAAATCATGTGATAAAAAGCAGACCTGTAGGATTATACTTTTACACTTTAGTAAAAAAAATGATGCTAGATGTTTAATTAATATGTGTTGTGATAGTTATAATGTATAAAATAATAGTTATTCTAAATTTGTAGATCCGGCTTAAATACATGTATAGCAATAACATGTAAAATTTTTACAGTACCTAAATACGTCTTTCAACAAGTTATTAATAATCTAATCCGAATATAGAAAATGTGCAATTGTTGATTGATTTGTCGTGTGCAATAATTGTTTGTTAGTAATTATTCAACAGTGTCCTATAGCCTGGATGTACAAATATTTTAATGGCTTATCAGGTAATCTGCCTCTTAAAAATAAACATACCATTAGGATAATCGAGGCTATTAATACAACACCAAATATAACAAGCCACATAACAATAACCAACTTGAAACATTCCTTAAGTGCTACGTGTATAAGGCTCAAATAAATATGTATATCGATATAAAATCTTTTTTTTTAGCTTTCTGTCTGAAATTTTTTATCGATATTCTATCTTCTTACACTAGATTGTTTTGTGTTGATAAGACAATTGCTGAAGCTATTTGTATAAGTATGCTTAGTTATGCAAAAAATTTCGTTTCAACTATAGAAGCGATAGGGCCTCTGACTATGCATAATCTTCTCAGATGCAGTCATTACTTTTCAAAGTGGGCCTGGAATCTGACTGTTACCTCCCCACAATTTATTTTTTCTCTACTTATAAACCCAATTTTAGAGGGCATGATCGTTACTATAATTGTCTGTGTAGTGAAGAGAGAAAAACTGAATGAGCTTCCTGCGGTTTAGTCCACTGAACTACGAGATAAGAAATAGTTTGAATGTATCCATCTCGAATTTATATAAACATAATCTACAATATTGATCTAAAAATTTTATGGTGAAAGATTCAATACCAATTAATGATAATGAAAAGATGAATCGAATAAATAATTTGTTTTTATTTTCTTGTTCAAAATTATTGTATTGATAGATCAGCTATCCAGGTTATTTGTTACAGGTATATTCAGCCATGCAAAAAATTTCGTTTCTACTTTTGAAGCGATAGGGCCTCTGGCTTTGTATGTTATGTATTCGAAAGGGCATAATTATCATTTCTGGTGGCTCAGTACTTTGGCTTAGGTGGTTTGTTCAGTCCACAAAAATAATCAATTAGGTGATTTGATTGGACCGTATAAAATATAATTTAATCTTATTTTTTATTTTTCTCTGAATTGCATTCACTCTTACTATAACAATTAGTGCAAATAGATCTTTCTACTATATGTAATGACAAATTTTTTTCAGGTGAGCTCATATATTGGAATATTTTTCATGTAATTCTACTATTATATATTATTAAGACTTTATTTCGAATGCACAAAAAATAAATTGCGATATTCATTAGTATATAATTATTAAATCAAATAGGTTTAAATCCCTAAATACGATATAAATCACATAATCTCTAAAATGTTAAATTACTTAATCATTAAATATGGTCTATACAGATAATTGTCCAATTTAAATAATATCGAGTGGAGGGATAACTGCCAATTTCCAGTAATTCATGATGGGGAAACACCATCTAATTGGAAGAACCGAATCTGGAATTAATTAGTGAATTATAGAAATAACAATAAATTGACTGATTACAATAAGTGATATTTTATTGCCAGAAAAATGGAATCTACAGAAGGATTCAGTTATCGTATGGCAGTTAAAGTGAATATTGCTATATGTTATAGCTGTGATCAGTTTGTTTATGTTGATAAAAGAGTACGATATGAATTATATCACAATTATAAGATGGAGAAATATTGGCATACAAATTGTACTGAAAATAGACATTGTGATATATGTTTCAAAGAGTATATGGAGCTTAAACAAAAACCAGAAGTAGAAAGTGATATTTACACAAGGTTAGCTATTTATCGATATGAATTACGAATAGAGAATCTTATCAATAGAGTTAAACATATTCGAGAAACAGCAAAAAAGATCCGAGCATGTACAACTATACAGAAGAAATGGCTAGAGTATTTCTACAGACCCGAAGGTATGTGTGCAACAGAACTTGCTCAACGTTATAAACTTCTATAGAGTATTTGCAAAGAGATGTGTCAAATTAACAATGTATAGACCATGTCTGCAAAGCAATTCATATATTTATTTGATTTAATCTATTTATTCGATTTATTAATTATATAACTTATTTATATATATATCTATTTAAAATAAAACCACCTAAAGTATTCCTTGAGGGCTAGTACTTTAGACTTTATTTCGTTATCCCTGAGGGCTGGTAATATTTTTTACTTTGATTTTCATATCAACCTATTTTACCTAGCACAAAAATCTCCTTAGTACAAATAAACTACAGAATTTATTTATTTTTCAATATCTACTTCAACCTCAATCAGGCTGGATACTGATAGCTATTTCATTGGAGAATAGTAGTGAATAAGATACTGAAAACATCCACCTCAATTAAAATACTAGGTAGGCAGGATACGTGCATCTTCTCAATTATATAAAAAGTGGTGAGTAGAATGTACTTATATTGTTGTATTAATAAATAACTAAAAAAATAATTATTTGATTATCAGAAGTTTATTCTACTAATCCAATTTTAAAGCGGTATCCCAACCAAGCTGTACACTTAGAGGATCATCTACTGCCTTAGTAAAATCAAAAACCATAAAATCTCGATCCCGCAAATGTTTATCGATGATCTTGGATGCTTTTTTTGAATTATCTATATATTAATGTATGATTCTGTAAATATCATCTTTAGATCCCGAGCCCCAGAATAAGGCTAGGTGTGAGATATTTTCACGAATAATTTTTGGGGTTTGTGTATATTTCTGGCTTACATATATGGGTAAGATATTTTGATGCTGGCCACTAATAAAGTAGGGAATAATTCGTTCTTGTACTTTTTTTGGTTCGGCATATAAATTCTCAAATACAACAACTGTACTTCGCTCTGAAAAGAATTTAGTTATATCTGGAATTTTATCTGGAGATATCCTTTTAAATGTAACATCTTCTCAATATGGTTTAGAGGCATTTGCGAAGATCTGGTATGCATTTTTTACTAATTACCATTTTGGTTCAGAATGCTTTCCTATCAATACCAGATCATCATTCTTAATATACCGATTACCTTTTTTTCCATTAAACATGCATTGGAGCTTTTTACCTAGCATAAGATTTATAACCATGTTAGTTTTTCCCTATGGGAGCCTTCATATACCAGTAATCTGAATGGGGCATCTGGTGAATACTTATTACCTTTCATTCATTCTGAGGATTTGTTAGATGTCTCGTCGATATTATATACAAATATAGGCATGCCTTTTTCTTTTATCTTATTCAAGCTAAGTAATACTTATGTGTTTATTCTTTATGTGATAAATAACCTCTCTCTTGCAATTCACTTTTCATAAATGCATAAAAATCTGAGTCGAATGGTATTTCAATCAGATCTATACCTTGCTTCTTGCATATCTCCCACTTTTTTTCATCGCATGTCTTTTGCTTATCCAAATCAATTTGACCTCGCTTGTGGAACATTGCATTCTGATGATAGTGTTGTACTCCTTGATGCTCCCATGCCAGGCGCAATTCCTTGTTATACCCATTAAGTCTGAGTCCACCTAAAAATTTATCTGAACATGATAGGAACTTCTTATCTAATAAATCCTCAAAGATGTATTTACAGCATCACTCATTCTTATTGTGAAAACAAAGTGGACACCACTCAAATTTCGTTGCAATCAATGGAAACGAGTACTCAAACTGACGCAGTCCATTTTCACAAGTCCAGAGGAATACATTCTGATTATTTATTCGCCCAGTTTTAGCTAAGATAATTCCATCATGTCTTCTAGCATATCGTTGTGCCCTGTCAAATTCATTATTAGAAACATGAATAAAATGTATCGATCCAGAGGGGTGATATTTTTGTATAAACTCATCAGGTGAGTACTCAATCTTTTTAGGATTCTCGATTTCTTGAAGCTCTTCTCTCTTAAAAGATCTTTTAGGATTATGACCTATTAAATGTTTAGTTGAATCAATTGGCTCATCCTCAAGATAGTATAAGACTGGCTGTGATAGATTTTTACCAACAATAACTTTTTTGATTTTATAGATACGCAATGACCACCACAGGTCAGTTTTTTTATGCATATGCCCTCCTTCTAGCTCACCGGGTTTTAATAGATATCTTACTGTAAGCCCCTTCTGTAATCATGGTTCATCCTTTCCAATAGGTCTTTTAGGTTTGGTAAATACTTTAGGTATTACTTCTCCCAATGACATTGCATATAATGATAAATTGCCTATTAATCGAGTTTTATTATTATTCATATAGTCAATAATTTTCTGAAGTATCTTGTTCTATAATTTCGAATGCTCACCTTCTTTGAGTTTTCCCTCTATGGCATATTGAATTTTGTATATAAGTCTTGCCAAATCTTGTTTGAATTTTTTAACTAATGCTAAGCTCTCAAAGCTATAAAGATCGACAACTCTTATAGGAACATTATATCGCTCCATTCCTTTTACAAATGATCTTTTAAATTCATCAGCACTATCAATCATCAACAATGCTGGCCACTTGAGAGGATTTTTAGGATCATTGTATATTTTTTCAATCATGTTCCAAACCTCTGAGCTAGTCTTTGATGTTAATGCTACTGCACATTTATATCTAGTTGCCACATCTATCAGCACCAAACTGTGTAAATATATTTTTCCTCTTTTCTGATTATCGTGAACATGGGGGAGTAGGTCACATTGATGTAATTTATTAGGAATTTGGCATTTAGAAAAGCTAGCCTGGGCCTTAATCTTTGGTTAGTGTCGATATATTTGGTAATCATACTGATTCTCTAACCAGTTTGTGATATCTTTAAGTCAAAAATGAGTATATCCTGCTTTTATACATATTTTTCGTATTTTTCTAGGATTGGAATAAAAGCCAGGCACATTATAGTAGATTATACGAAGAACAATTTGCAATTCCTCATTAGGGTCTATAATAATAGTAGGTTCACTCATATACAAAAGACTAATTTTTTGATTCTTGTTTATTATGTTATAAAATACTACAATGACACCAGAAATTAGCACAAATAGACTAGCTCAAGCTGAAGATAGTTTGCAGATAATAAAAAATCGATTTTGTAAATTACAACAGGATCTAGCTTTAAAAGAAGATTATATTAAATATCTTGAAAAAGAAATTTTAATTCAAGATGAAGATTTGGATCCATTGCGACAAGAAATTTCTAATCTCAAAGAACAGTTAGAAAAGGCACTTCAAGATTCTAAAAGCCAAGAGAATTATGTTGATTATTTAGAACAAAAGTTAATAATTTTTTAGGATAAAATCGACATACTTAATGAAAAAATACTTATTTTGTATAAAAATTCTAATGATACTATAGAGATGGCACAACCACCAGAATCACCCAGATTATCACTACCTGAAAATCAAGCCATGATTCAAAATAATAGGATTCAGCAAGAGATTAATAATATTAGACAGTATTTTCAAAGCCCAGTTACAATAGCCTCTACAATAAATGGTATTGTAGATTATCTTAATATAATTTTTAATGCTGGCAATAGGTTTGAAAGATTGGTACTAGATATATATTCACGGGCGAATACTCATGCAATTAATGCAGAAAATCAAGTAGCAGATTTGCAGACCCAGTTAACTAATTCACAAATCCAGTTAGCTACACTTTAAAATGACTATGATCTTCTTTATCAGGCCTATGAAGCTCACAGAACACAACACAGTATATTTAAATCTCGAGAACTTGATGGTCGAATTACAATCTGTATGCAAAAAAGACAAATATCAAAATTGCTTCTAGAAAAATTTGCATTGGGATTTAAGAATAGACGAACACAACAGCAACTACAAGAATATAAGACAGATGAAGCAATTACTACACACCTCTTAAATCTTACAAAAAATCGATACAGCAAATGGAATAATAAATGCAAGACTCTAGAAAATGATTTATTACTTGTCGATCTTTAACTGGACAATAAGTGGAGTAAGTGGAAAAATCATGCTCGAAATTTTGAACAATTAATAAATAATTTACAAGCACAAATTTTATTGTTATATAATAATCCACCAAATATGGCTACAGTTGCAGGAGACTTAACCAGTATTGCACCATTAATTGCGGAGATTCCAAATTATAGTAGACAAATTCTACCAGATGAATGGTATCAAGGCATTAATAAAATATTAACTTTAATAGCAATCATAGCAGCTGCCTTTAATGATGCACTTCGAGCAGAAATTTTAAAAAGTAAGATGACTGGAAAATATACAAACATACCTGTTCAACACGCTGGTAATAATATTGATACCCCAGCCTGTTTCATTATTTGGTTGCATCATAAATATCAAACAGAAACAGTTGGTACACAACAAGTTGCTACTCAAAGATTAGCACAAGAAAAATTCTTACCATTTGATAATCCAGAATCATATGAGGCTAGAATCTGTCCTCTTTTATTAGGAGTTGCTGTGGTGATGCCAATATCTTAGGACTTCTTAAAGGTTATTTATCAGGAGAGCTTTATACTTTGATGAAAATCGCTAACCCTGATGGCATTGATGCATTTTTTACAGAACTTAAAAATATGTGATTAGAATGTCCTTCAAATTTGTATAAAGGCTCCATTCCTGACCAAATCTCTCAAACTTCAGCTGTTAATATACAAAATAAATTACATTCCGATAGTAGTGATATATCTCAAGCTGAACTAGATAGTATAATAAAATCACAATTAGCTTTAGTACTAACTACTTCTATTCAGTCTTCACAGCTCCAGAAAACACAAGCTTTACAGTCTCAGCAAAAGCAACCCAATTTCAGTAACTACCTTAGAGTATCAAATAAATATATGCCAGAAAGACCACCAGATGGGTATGGTGTAAATTCTGAAAAATTTATTCATTGTGATCTTATAAACCCAACTTCTTCAGCCAGCCAAATTATAGAATCTTTAGCTAATAATCTTTATAAAAAAGTGTCAGATATGTTTTCGGCAAAGCCAGTGCAATCAATGAAAAATATTGAAGTCAACTTTGATAAAGAACTGGCTGATCATATGGGTAAGTTATCAATAAATAAGGCTTTGTCAAAAGGTTTTGAGGCAGGAGTTCATGCTGTTATTAAATCATCCAAACACCATTGTTCAAATTGTAATAGAATGGGACACAATTCTCATAAGTGTCCTAGAAAGAAATCTAAGAATTCCAAGAGATCTAGCAAGAATAAAAAAGATAAGATTAATATGCCTATCAATAATTCTGGTTCTGATTCAGATTCTAACTCTTCTGATAATAATTCTGATTCTGCGTCTGATTCCGATGACACCTCCTCTGAAACTGAGAGTATGAATGTTAACATTACTAGAGCAAAAAAAAAGTAAACCAGAAGAGTAGTTCGAGCAAATCATTATCTAAAAAGATATCCAAATCTCACAAGATCAATAAGGAACCTAAATCTCGCAAGAGGGGTGGAAGTAAGCAAACAGTTTTAGAACAAACTATTCATAAAATTATCCAAAGTGAACTTAAAGATATTTTACCTTTATTATTGCAGGAGCTCAATTTTAATAATAAAAAATCATACCATATTCAAGATAATAATTATTGAGAGCTAGCTCCAGAGATATCCAATTCGGATGAAGATGAGACTTTGGATGACCCTATAGAAATTAATTTTGTTTGTCAGAAAGAACCTGATACAGGTATTGTGACTATACCATGCAAAATTAAGCATTTAAAAATCCCAGCAATGATACTTGATAGTGGGGCTGAAACTGAGATCATAACAGAAGATATTGTTAAGTGTATAAATGGAAAAATTGATAGATCTGTGAAGTATGACCTTAGTGGTATTGCTACCATTCCAATTGAGTCTATTGGCATCGTTTGTAATTTACTAATAACACTAACTCCTGATTGTACTATATATGAGGATTTTGTAGTCATGAAATATTCCAAGCCAATGTTAATATTTTCAAACCAACTTCTCAAGAAATATGAATGTGTTATTGATTGGAATAATGATAAAATGAAGATTCATCACAATAGAAAGGAACACATTTTTTCTGTAACTATGTATAAGGTAAAGAATAAGCTCGAAGTAAATTATGCTACTGCAACTCAAGATAGCCTATATAACGAGGATACTATTACATCTAAGCCTTTGGTATCTAATGAAATTTCACAGGAAGTAGATAGTGATAAGGATGACAGTATACCATTTGATGAGTGGTGTGCTTCTGCAGATTTTAGCTTAGATTCTGTCAATTTAACTTTAGCAAAGCAAGCACCAAAAGTGCTAAAAAAAAATGCATGAGTTTTGAGAAGTTAGAAAAATCGCTATATACTACTCTTAAGTCTAAAGCTGAAATAAATGATCTTTGTGAAAAGTTGCAAATGCGTTATAAAAAGCTACTTAAACATATCTCTACCAGAGATAATATTATAGATTAAGTAGTAGCTAATAGGCAAGTCATATTTGCTTTATTTTTCTCATCTCTTCTGGCTTCTTTTTCATATAATACACCCAGATTCTCACTACTTATTTTTTCTGTAGAGTTATTAGTAGGTATTGAATCAGATATGTGAGAGCAGAGCTCATTATTACATAATACAGTTTTAGACCGAGATTTGGAACTTCTCTTTTTTATTTCTGTATTGAGGGGAGTAGTAGATTCTGGATATAAAGTCTCTCTTCTAATTTGGTTAAAATTTTCAGATGAAGTTGATGGGACTAATGTGGAAATAGTACTTTGTATTATTTGTTGCTGGCATTCTTGATCTTCCCATATATCATCTACTCGATGTTCATTAATATGGAATTCTCTCATAATTCTATATTTAGGAACCTTATCTTTGAGTGATCTAATTGTTTCTACCTGCTCAGAAGTTAGATATGTAGATTTTCAGCAATAATATGATTTTAGAAATGGCATGTTTATGGTTTGATTTTTTATCAAATATTTAGAATGATATTTAATATTTTAGAATAATAAAAAATAATATCTATTATTATGAAACAATAAAAAATAATATCTATTATTATAGATGAATGAGAAATATTAGCATAAACAAGTCTTTGGCTAATAAAAGGACTATAAAAATAATTATTATATAACTTAATTCAATAATTTCTAATATATTTTTTTAATAGATTAGGATATCTAACATTAAACATCGTTAGATAATAATAGAAATTATTAACAAAATTAGTTTTATTAATAATTATATTATCTATTATTTAGCAAAGCAAGCTAATATGGCTAATGTATATACATTTCAAAATATTAAAGGTCATCGACTTGGTAGTATACGCGAAGAAGAGCTAGAAAAAAAAATACATAATGCTATCAAATCCAAAGCTGAAATTAACAAGCTTAGTAAAAAATTATAGGATAAATACATAAAACAAATAAAGGCTTTTGATCGGGAAAGAAAGGGGTAGAATCAGGATTCATTACGAAATAATACAGAGATTCAAAAGTTACACACCCATGCTTTGCAGGTTATTAATGAGCATAAGCAAATACAAAATGAAAATACTAATCTTATTTCTCATAACACACAAAAAGATATTTTTATTGCTGAATCCAAGGCTGAGAATGTTACAAAATCCAAGAAAATTAAATCACTCGAGTTTATAATCAAGATATTGGAAAGTAAGTTGTCTTTAGCCCAGAAAGATGTGATTTCAATTCAAAATGACTCATTAAAAAAAGAATCTGAGATATTATCTCTCAAATCTAAAATAATTGAATTGGAACAAGAGTTAGCTTTAATGGTTAGTAAGCTTAGATATCTAAAATCTGAGAATAAATCAAAACTTGTAGTTGGTGGGAATAATGAAAAAAATATGCAGAGCGAGGAACAAAGTTCCATAATCAAGTCTGGCGATATATCTGCAATTAGTGAACCTATCAAAAATCTCAGTAAATATTTTATACGTAAAAAAAGTATGGATCAAACTGAAAAAATCGATAGTAATATCTCAGATCATATTGATTATGAGAATACTCCAATATCTGAAGAATCAATGATTCAAAGCTATATCCCAACTCCAAAAGTCGATGCCGAAAATTCTACCAAGTTAAGTGATGACATCAATATTAGTGGAACTAAAAACAATGTATTCCAAGGAATATCGGATATGGCTCCATACCTTGTACAGCCAGAAAATCATAACTCCTCTTTGATTGAATCGAATTTTCAGATGTCACCACTGTTGGCATATATTATTCTTATCTTGTTGGTTATTGCAGTTATATGGTTCATGGTATTGAGGCGTGGATTGAGTATCGGTAAAAAAAGTGATCGGCTATAAGGTGCATGGGCTAGGCATTAGGAACTATCTATTTAAACTTGAGTATTATTTATATACAAAAAAATATATACAATGGTAATATAAAGATATGTTTATAGTGAGCTGACTGCCTTGTTCCATGTATTTAGAAAACTCTCAAGTGCTAGTTGATCTGTTTTCGATATATGAGATAAGGTAGGTTGTTCAGTAATCATCTCATTTTTTCTCATAGTCTCGGGTTGGCCAATTTTATCTGAGATTGTTATATGCTCTTTATATCACATATGATATACTAACTTATGAAAGAAAACATCATATTTCTCGATAATTGGGATAAGTACATTTAGATGTTTCGTAAAATCAGAGCATATTGATTTTTTTATCCATTTACTTATCAAGAGATTATCATTTTCAGTATATGCTCTGACATACTCTATGAACTTTTCCCATAATCTCTCGACATTATTGGTTGCTTTAAAATCCTCAAAACTAAGCCATTCCCCATGAAATATCTTGTAGGTATTACCTATCTTCTGATATAATATAGATTGCGCAGTTTTGATTGCATTCTTGTAAGCACGTTTGTAAGCATATCCACGATTAGATATTATTTTAGGAGTGATTCCATCTATCATATTTATCTTCTTGATATATAACTCAAGCCACTTCTTGGCCTTGTTTTGAGCATATGTATCAATCTGTTTATATTTCTCATCTGAATCAGTAATCTTCATGATTTTGTCAATAGATAGTGGTTCATATTTTTTATCATATATAATAAATCGGGCACAAAGTCCATTAATAGTATTTTCGAAGTAATGGGATAGATCCAATTTTCTATTTAATTCTTTTGCAATATCCACGAATTCTATTTGATCGGCCTTTCTTATAGTGAGTTTAAAACCAGATAAATCAAAAACTTTATCAGGATAAACCATTACATAACTAAAGTATTCTCCTGGATCAGAAATCTTGTTTTTATATTTTTCTTCTATCTGTCCTATAAATCACTGGACACGTTTGTTATCTACATTAGGTTTCCATGCATCAGTTTCTATAAATTGATCAAAATCCCATTGATTGGGATTGGTTATAGCTTCTTTAAGAACCCCTTCAACAATCTTATAGAGTGTTTGATTATTGTTAATATCTATTGCACCCTACATAATTCGATTTTCTATAGTTTTGAAAAGTTGGGACTTTTCTTGCTTCACTGTATCTATACCTCTAATAAAAAGTTTTTTTGTTGGTCCAAAATTTGGCTTATCTTTATGCTCAATTCCAAAATATTTTTTCTTACCTGTAAATACTACTGGAAATAAAACTTCTTCATAAGCCATTTTGAGATAAGTTGATCTACTTTTTATTTTAAGATATGTATTCACTTCATTGTGCAATTTCTCCATTACTTTTATAGTTATTTTAACTATTTCAGTCCAATATCCCAATTTCGAAATTGTGCCTTTACCATCATTATAAGCAAGATCACATTCTTTATAACATTTAACGGGACAGGTGAGATATAAAGAATCAGTGTTCCCATATTTGATTCCAAAACCTTTCTTCTTAGTCACATACTCAGCAACAAGTTTAATGTTATATTGTCCTGCCGATGTGACACCACCAGCTAATTCTAAGAAGAAGAATGGGGATAAACTGTTTCTTGCTTCTTCATAAAAGGTATTCATATAAATTTTTACTGCTTTTTGTTTCGAATCCAAGCAAGTGTGATCAAAACAGATGGAATCATATTCTTTAATGAAATTCTCATAGGTTTTATTAATGAGAGGAATCAAGATTTCATTCATATTAACATGTTTTTCTTTATCTTTCACATTTTTTAGAGTATGATCAATAGCATCAGCCACTAACAAATTCACCTCTTTTATTTTACTATTTACTAATTCTATATACTCTTTTATATTGCTAAGTATTCCCAATTGAGCCTTCATTTTATTTCGTTTATTAAGGAGCTCTTTTAAAACTGATGGATATAACCCCATTTTATTATTTTTATTTTCATGTCTTATAGACCATGCATGTAAAATTCGGCCATTGAAAGGGAACTCGATTTTATAGAGGGTCTTGCCTGCTTCTTTTAAATTATCTGCTTCTTTGGGCGATAGAGTCATTTTCTCAGATGAGAGGTTATAGTTCATTATAATACTTGAGTATAAAGATGCGAAATCCAAATCCATGACAGGCCGTTTATTTTCTAAACCCTTATCTGGTGGAAATACATAGGCTCTAGGGAACGTGCCTTTTTCTTTTTGCTTAAGAGAAATTAAAGTAATTAATATATCTCTTTTTCACACTTCAGCAACTAATAGATTACATACCTTCATACCTCTAGCATAGTAGTGCGAATCGAATAAAGAAACATATGCAATTGAGGCCACCTCTCTGTAATCATTTATTATATTTCTCTTAACCATAAGTTCTTGACAACTTAAAGCATCTTTAATACAATATTTAGCAATTTTACGTATATTTTCAGGGTCTCGAGTGAGGTATTCTCCTTGCTTCGTGTATAATATTCTCTCATAACTTTTATTGGTAAATCTATTTTACTACCAAGACCATGTATCCCTAAGAAATAGTTGAGTGATTTTTTCTCAGATTTCAGATAAAGTTTTTCACAACATACTTTTATATCTATTGGAATGCAACCGGGAACCTTAAGAAAAGTAGATATAAAATTTTTATCTGGGGTGATTTTAATTTCGATCCCTTCCCAATTCTTTTTCTTTTTGTTACCCTTGTTTTCTTTTTTGAAAGACCCTATGTTTGCTTTTTATGAAAGAAATCTTTATAGAAAGGTTCACCTACCCCTCCACAATAACTCTAATGAAGAATAGAATTGATTGTAGCCTTTTTTCGTGGGTTTGCTGACATCTTTGCCATCATCTAATTTAGAATTTTTAGTTGGGTGGCTTTTTCTACTACAAATGACCAGTCATACTTGGATCCATTAAAAGTGAGTTCAATATCAAGGGCTAAAGCCCGCCAGCATAGAGCAAATGCCTTTAATAGATTCCTTTCATTTCTACAAATAATCATGATCCAATTTGGGTCTGGTGCCATTTCCACATCAACAAGGCAGATTTGTTTTAACAGGGTAAGATCATCTTTCCAGTGAACAGTCATACAAATCATAAATATATTATCCTCTTTATATTTCACCATAGAGAAATGGTCTAATCCAAGCGTTGAATGTATTTCTATATCCCAGGTAAGGACTAATGCTTGATCATGAGTAAGAAGTTGTAAAGGATAATTTTTGTATAAAATTGAGGGATTTTCCATAGAGCAGTAATTATTAACCAATAAATAAAAAGCATGTTCACATAGTGGTGAGCGAGCACTATAAGGCATTTCATTGCTATTGTATTTATAATCAGTTAATAATGCCCATCTAGAAAGTGGTATCCTATATTCTCTAGCAAATTTTCGATAATATGCTTTTGTATCATCTGAGGCTGTTTCCAGCTTATGCATACCTCCAATTTCTGAATTATGTTTTAGAATAATATTAAGAGCTATAGATCTTTGTTTTTTTGTATTTGTGACAATACGTAAATATGTCAATTTTTCTAAATGATATCCCCTGATCAGAAAAGCCTTCACATATTCTATTCGGAGCTCAGTCATATCTACAGTTTCTCCTTCATCATCTTTTCCTTTAATAAGAATATCCTTTACCTTGGACTCAAATAACTTTGTATTCTCATTATTGGAAATATGAATATCGAAGAAAACTTTAATATCTGAAATAGTTACTACAGCTTTTTGACTATTAACAAGATAACCATAAAGTTGTAAAACATAGTGTGGGGTATTATTTATTTACTCATTATATTCCTTTATGTCACAAGGCATAAATAGGATATCTTTCCCATTAATTAAATCCTGATTAATAGTTGCTGTTGATCCATAGTCATCATTTTTAGCGATTATTATATTGCGACTCAGATAGTATGATAAATATTCTTCTTCATCGTAGTAAAATACCTGGCTTTCCTCCTTACTTTTCAAAATCTTTGATTAAGGAAAAGCTTTAAGCCCCTGGCAGTAGAATGCTTTACTATTTTCTTCCTCTATCTCTGGCTCGAAATTCTTCGAGTTTTCTGGGCTCTCTGGTTGAGAAGGTGGTACTCCCACTTCTGCTGACACGTGATTGATATTTTCTTGGAAATTTTGGTATCCATGGTAAGTATATTTTACTGCTAGTATATTATTCCGGAAAAAAAAGTTCAAAATGAAAATTAATTCTAAAGAATAGTTATCAGTAGATAATAACCATTATATCAGAAATTATATAAATATGGCATTTTATCATTGCTCCTATATTCTTAGGACTGGAAAAGTTTGCAATCGAGGTTGCTATAGGCCTGAAGAGTGCAAAGTTCACTGGAATTCTCTACCACACATACCTTGTAAAGAATATGGTAAGTTGACTTATTCTGATTATGATTATTGTGATACTCATGCAGATAAATATCAAAGGCAAGATCGATATCAGCAGAAAAGCTGGAGAAGATGGTACAAAATAGTGTTATAGGTTCGAAGAACTATTGCTCTGCAGGCCCGGGTGATGAATCGAAGATCCGAGACTCTGTCCTCCCTAAAGGGTCATAAAAAATACATAGTGTTATAGAACGATTTATTATTATTTTATTATTAGTTATTAGTATTATTATTATATTATTATTATTTAGTATTAGTTATTTTATTGTTGTATTATTATTATTAGTAGAAGTTGCCGGAA